TGATAGGATAGAATAACCAAACGAGACAAGTTAAAAGTTACCAAATTAGTATACAAACGGGGATCAAAGTGAATATGTAGTACATAGAACGAGATTTAATGAGATCGTTTGAAAGTTAGAATACACCCTTGGTACATTTACATCAATATCGAAATTAGTATTATTAGTTATATAGTGTGCTAATGACCTAATACAATATATATGTGGTCAGTAAATTCCATATGGGGTGAGATCGAAGCTCGAAAACATTGAAACTTGCTACCTGGAAGGTAATAAGTTTTGGTTTCAGTCTGAAAATATCCCAGGTTTTCGATAGGGTTCGTGTTGCTTAGTTTTTGTATGCGGACTGTTGTTTGTCTTTTGTCTTTGGAATTTCTTATTGTATAGTATTTTCAGTGTGTTATTCAATTATGTACAAAACATCATTTTTTTTGTACGAAGGGAAAAGTGAAAGAGCCAGTCAGCAAAAAAAAGCTCCATGCCTTAAGGCCGTTAATATGTAAGTCGACTTGAACATATATCATTGCTGTATTAAGATTTCATCTGTAAAATAATTGACAAAAACATTGGCCAGAACTATTGGCAACGGATCATAAAATTTCAAATTGCCAGGGTCAAAACCTAACCATATGAAAGGATACTCTTACTATTCCATATTTACGTGAATGGAATATATCCAAAACTTCTTTATAAAGCTCCCCATTGAAGATGATGATGGGAGTTATTAACGACCTTGACTGGCTATAAAGTCCTCGCACGGTCGGTGTCCAGTTAAAGATAACTCTTTTCTGCTTTATTCCAATGGTTAATCATTGTATCAGCAATCATGTTCATTCGACAGCAGAAAAAATTGAAACTGAACACTCTGATGAAGAATTTGGTCAAGCAGTGCTTCCATGGGGTGATAGGTTAAAGAAATACTTTAACATTATATATGGACGACGAAATTTGGGAAGTATATTTGAAAAATCTATACTACTAAAGGAAGAGACCAATTTCATTGATACCATACAAAGTCGGAAATATTTGTGATATGACGTATAAATGTAGTGTTTTGTACTTCCTAAATTTGTCTTTGAAACAATATTTTTTCACATAAAAGGCCAATTTTTGAGAAAATATCCAAATTTGGAGACAGTTATCAATCCGTGTCTTATACGCTTTCGCGCATGTTCAGTCGACGGACTGCCCGCGAAATCCCAGTGAAAGTAAGAAGAAAGGATAGAAAATAGGACTGTTAGGCCTATATGGATCCTGTATTGTATAGTAAGTGCATCATTTTGCTAAATCAAACGACATCCACCCTTTTTCCTCTGGTGCAGAACTGTCCAAAAATGAAATGGGCGTTGAACGTGTCGAAGTGATCCCCCTTTTTTCTGTGTAAACACAGGCACCCGACGTCCGGACCCCTCTCCCTTTCGATGTGTAAACACAGGCACCCTTGACACTCTTTGTTTCAACACTTGCCCAATTGTACCGTGATTTCGCGGGCATCTTCTAGTAAATATAAAATTAGAAGATATGGAATGATTGCCAATGAGACAACTATCCAACAGAGACCAAATGACGTAGATGTAAGCATAAGAGATCAACGAACGGCCTTCAACAATGAGCCAAACCCATACCGTATAACAAACGGTTTTTTTTCATGTTAGTATCCTTTTGCGGGATTTACTTCTTGGCCGTATTTGGCGCGACCATTTGTAATTTTTGGTTTGCAACGCTCTTCAAATTCTTGTTAATTTAGACTTCAAAATGTTTTGGTTCGAGCGCACCTGATGAGTATTATGTTGGCGAAACGCGCGTCTATCGTAAAAAAATTAAAACCTGGTATTTTATATAAGTAGTTACAGGATGTTATATTTCCTTTAGATAGCTTTCATATAAAAACATCGTAGGGATCTTGCAAGTCAGAAACTGATTTTTTAGATCCTTCAAGACTTTTTATTTTAGAAAACTGTAGATTGTACCAAAGATATTCAATAATATTCTTGACCTATTCAGATATATGTCAAACTGTTTATATTTCTCCTCATTTAGTCCACAATTTTCCGAAGCGGGCCTAAGATCCAGAATTATTGTCAGTTAAAAATGAGGTGATGAAACTTCATTTATAACTCTAATTTGCTGATCGATATTTGTGATTTTCTGCTGGAATGTTATCAACGAGGTATAAAACAGAAGGAAGGTGCAGAGCTCGAAGGAAAAACAAAAGGTCGATAACAAACACCATGCCCAAAATAAAAATGAAAACGTGAATATACATCCCGACATGTAGCAGCTATTGCTCGAACATTTGCACCAATTGTGCTGTTCGTGCCAAGTAAAGGTTCTGTCGAAAGTAACATTCGTTGAGTGTACATCGACAAAAAATAATACGTGGATTGCTGCAAAGACTGGTAGAACGCATTTGTGGTCAACTGTTAAGATATGTCACAACGTTCAAACAAATCACAATGGCGTCCGTAATAACTTAAGTGGTACCAATTTTACTGCATCTTAAACTTTCGAATGAATTACTTCAACCAAAAGAAACCATACTGCAATTTCTTCCATGTAATATCTTACAGTCAAACAGATGGATTAATGGGACATTTTTATAGGGCCTAAATGTACGCTTGTTTTGAGAAAAGATAATCAATATGTAACTACTATAATTGTTCCCCTATTCTAAAAATAAATGACTAAATTATGAATCATATTCAATCACGTCAATTCCAAGTAATCTTTAAGAAATATTCGATTTATCGTCGACACTTCAGTAGGAGAATGAATGAACGAATGAGAAAATAAAAATAAACAAATTTAATCATGTCAAAATTCTTAATATAAATAAACATATTTAAACTATATTTATTAAAAATGGGTTGATCTTTGCTTTTCTAATACTATTTGAAAGATTTGTGTATTTCAGTACACGTTATATCCGAATACAGTGTCAAAACATTATCTAACAAAACTACCAAATCTGATATATACAATAATAAATATGTACATTGTAGAATAGCATAAAAATAGCAAATGTAAAATCTGCAGTACACAAGAAAACAAAAAAAGCTGTATCACTAATGCTAGAAATATTGCTCGATAAATCACATAACTATGCAAAAATATGAGGATGAATAGATGTAAAAAATATATATATGAAATATTTATATTAATATTAATAGTATTATTTTTATTTCTTATTTAGTAATAATATATAATTCATAATTTATAATTATTATATTTATCCACATAAAAGGTCATACAAAAAATACAAGTCTTGATAGAAGTTAATTAATCGATTTGAAATAATTTAGTAGATTTAAGTTCAACAGTTGTTTTAAAGTAACGTCCTTTGTCATAAACAATTGATGCAAAGGACTATACCATTTTATATTCCCAAAAAGGATTTATTGAAATAGTTTTATCAATTTAGTGAAATCCCACGACCAATTTCTTTTAAAATTAGTACAATACACGTGATACAGTTTAACCAGATCTTATAAATATATATATATATAAACAAGTCTAAATTGCATATATATATACATGAGACATTTGAATAAATTGTCAACTTCCGCTTCAATTAAAATCTGCAATTCAAAAATGTAAGATTGAAATATATATCAAATGATTTTACGAGACACCTGTTCGATATTTACTTTAAAGCTTTATCAATGCTTTGTTATGGTTCTTAATGAAAAAATAAAAATATGAAGACATTAAATATTCACCAGTCTCGATTTGTCAGTAATTAGTTTTATTAGCTTATATACATTCTCTTATTACCTAAGGCAAAGGTACAACAATGGATTTCTTTGTCTGATAGGCATTTATCAAAAGTTAATTAAAAAAAATCTTATTGCTGTATGCAAATCAAATGAATTCAAATTAAAGTCATTATGACTAGTAGCAATCATTAAAAAAATCATTTGAATAAACTACTGACCTCTTGGTTTCAATAACTATATATGAAAATTATGACTTCTAGCAATCATTAAAAAATAATCCGAATAAACTACTGACCGCTTGGTTTCAATGACTATATATCAAAATATAAATGCGATTAAAAAAGGAATGAACATATTTGTTTTATCTAATGATAAATGCCTATATCAAAGTACATGTAATTAATTAGACAAACGTTCAACTCACAAAACCAAATGAAAAGTAAGATTGTTTACAATAAGCAGGTTCATAGTTTCTGTGTCAAATATCCAATATATGTGTATATTTGAAAATATTAATCACATAAGCTATGACCACAACACAAACCAACCAAAAAAACATCAGGACAAAACAAGTCACTGAATATTGAATGAGAATATATTCACTTTAAATAAGAAAAAAAATACTAAATACTGTAAAGAAAACAAATGTTAAAGAAAACAAATTTATAAGAAAAACATGATATAAAATCGTTGAATATGTATTCATTATATCATAAGTGTTGAATTTTTGCACTGATCTTATTATTATATAATACATTTTTCTATCTATCCTTATTCGAACGTTGAATTAATAGTAATTTGAAGCATCATTTAAAAAAGAAACTCGAACAAGGTAGGAAATGTGCTTTCAACTCAAATTGATTACAGTACTGTACCAGATAAACTTTAACACCCTTATCTCAAGCAAGCATGTTTAACAGACTTCGCTGATCGAATGCAATACCAATCCATATGACAACCTGACATTTAACGAGGAGCACAATCATTCTTGTTTGCATAATGAACCGTCTAAAATGACGAATAAATAAATTACTTTTCAATTAGTTGTTTTACACACATCAATATGATTACTAAAATAATGTGTACCAAAACATGAAACAAACATGAAAAAATGATAAAATGTTTACGAAAGACATTGGTATTTTAAAAAGAATAAACTTCTTATATCCAAATGGTGTGTCAGTCCACTGGAAAGACGAGTTTAAGCCAAAATTATCAAAGTATTTTTTATACCAGTTCATTCATTTTCCCAACTGAAGCATCGCCTAAACCACTAGAAAGACGTAAACTTTATATTCTTTATTCCGTCATATACTTGACCAGTTCAAGACAACTCCTTACACAAATGATGATGGCTTAAATACGACCCCCGGCTGGAGGATTCCACTTCACCATATGACCAGGTGTTTGTTGTGCTGTGTTTCCTAAACCATGTTGGCTTGGGCCACCAGGATTACGTTGCATTAGATCTAATAATTGTCGATGAGATATTTTTAAATTATTCAACAATTGTTGAGTGTTGGTAGGTGCATTTGGAGGAGGTGGAGGTATTCCCTGAGTGTTTGGATTGGACACGCCTAATAGCTGAAATCCTTGTCCAGGAGACATTTGTCCTTGTGAAAGGAATGAACCAAGTCCAGTTGGTGTTCCTTGACCGCCAGGTCCCTGCTGCCCAACTTGACCTGCCCCGTGTCCTTGACCTCCGTGACCTGGTTGTCGACCACCTTGACCTCCAATACCTGGTTGTTGACCACCATGTCCTTGACCTCCCAAACCTGGCTGTTGACCACCGTGTCCTCGACCCCCCACACCTGGTTGCTGACCGCCGTGTCCTTGACCTCCCATACCTGGTTGCTGACCGCCATGCCCTTGGGCTCCCAATCCTGGCTGTTGACCACCGTGTCCTCGACCTCCCATACCTGGTTGCTGACCACCGTGTCCTTGGCCTCCCAATCCTGGCTGTTGACCAGCATTTCCATGGCCTCCCATTCCTTGTTGTTGACCAGGATGTCCTTGACCTCCCATACCTGGTTGCTGACCGCCGTGTCCTTGGCCTCCCAATCCTGGCTGTTGACCAGCATTTCCATGGCCTCCCATTCCTTGTTGTTGACCAGGATGTCCTTGACCTCCCATACCTGGTTGCTGACCGCCGTGTCCTTGGCCTCCCAATCCTGGCTGTTGGCCAGCATGCCCTTGGCCTCCCATTCCTGGTTGTTGTCCACCACGTCTTTGACCTCCCATACCTGGTTGTTGACCACCGTGTCCTCCCATTCCTTGTTGTTGACCACCATGTCCTTGCCCTCCCATACCTGGTTGTTGACCTCCGTGTCCTTGTCCTCCTAAACCTCGTTGTTGACCACCATGTCCGTGACCTCCCATACCTGGTTGTTGACCACCAATTCCTTGGCCTCCCGTTCCAGGTTGTTGACCACCGTGTCCAGGACCTCCCTGACCTGGTTGAACACCATGTCCTTGACCTCCCATACCAGGCTGTTGTCCACCATGTCCTTGACCTCCCATACCTGGTTGTTGACCACCATGTCCCTGACCGGCCATTCCCGGTTGTTGACCACCATGTCCCTGACCGGCCATTCCCGGTTGTTGACCACCGTGTCCTAGGCCTCCTTGACCTGGTTGACCACCTTGTCCTTGTCCTCTCATACCTGGTTGGTGTCCATGACCAGTTGGTTGATGTCCCATTCTACTTCCTGGTAAAGCAGCGCCATGACCAGCAGGTTGTCCCATTCTACTTCCTGGTAATGCAGCACCATGACCACCAGGTTGTCCCATTCTGCTTCCTGGTAATGCAGCTCCCTGACCGCCAGGTTTTGGACCACTTCCAACAGAATTAATAGTTAAATGAATTAATACGTTTCCATTTGGAGGTTTTGGTGGTGGGGCTCCACCTGGCTGTTGCCCTTGTCCACCACCAGGCGTTGCGCCACCCTGTCCTGGTCGGTTTCTTCCCATAGGCAGTGCACCTCCTGGATACGCCGGATTACCACCCGGTTGTTGTCCTTGCCCACCAACAGGTTGTTGCCCATGTCCACCACCAGGTTGCTGTCCGTGTCCACCACCAGGTTGCTGTCCTTGTCCACCTCCAGGTTGCTGTCCATGTCCACCACCAGGTTGTCTTTGTCCACCACCAGGCATTGCGCCTCCCTGTCGGTTTCTTCCCATAGGTAGTGCACCGCCTGGATATGCTGGATTACCACCAGGTTGTCCATGTCCACCACCAGGTTGTGGCCTATGTCCACCACCAGGTTGTTGCCCAGGTCCACCACCGGGCTGTTGCCCATGTCCACCACCAGGTCTTTGCCCATGTCCACCACCAGGTTGCTGACCATGTCCACCACCAGGTTGTGGCCTATGTCCACCACCAGGCTGTTGCCCCGGTCCACCACCAGGCTGTTGCCCAGGTCCACCACCGGGCTGTTGCCCATGTCCACCACCAGGTCTTTGCCCATGTCCACCACCAGGTTGCTGACCATGTCCACCACCAAGTTGTGGCCTATGTCCACCACCAGGCTGTTGCCCCGGTCCACCACCAGGCTGTTGCCCAGGTCCACCACCAGGTTGTTGTCCGTGTCCACCACCAGGTTGTTGTCCGTGTCCACCACCAGGCTGTTGTGCATGTCCACCACCAGGTTGTTGCCCCGGTCCACCACCAGGCTGTTGCCCAGGTCCACCACCAGGTTGTTGTCCGTGTCCACCACCAGGCTGTTGTGCATGTCCACCACCCGGTTGTTGTCCGTGTCCACCACCAGGCTGTTGCCCATGTCCACCACCTGGTTGTTGCCCATGTCCACCACCAGGTTGTTGCCCATGTCCACCACCAGGTTGTTGTCCGTGTCCACCACCAGGTTGCTGTCCGTGTCCACCTCCAGGTTGCTGACCATGTCCACCACCAGGTTGTTGTCCTTGTCCACCACCAGGCATTGCGCCTCCCTGTCCTGGTCGGTTTCTTCCCATAGGCAGTGCACCTCCTGGATACGGCGGATTACCACCAGGTTGTTGTCCACGTCCACCACCAGGTTGTTGTCCATGTCTACCACCAGGTTGTTGCCCATGTCCACCACCAGGCTGTTGCCCATGTCCACCACCAGGTTGTTGTCCGTGTCCACCACCAGGTTGCTGTCCGTGTCCACCTCCAGGTTGCTGACCATGTCCAGCACCAGGTTGTTGTCCTTGTCCACCACCAGGCATTGCGCCTCCCTGTCCTGGTCGGTTTCTTCCCATAGGCAGTGCACCTCCTGGATACGGCGGATTACCACCAGGTTGTTGTCCACGTCCACCACCAGGCTGTTGCCCATGTCCACCACCAGGTTGTTGCCCATGTCCACCACCAGGCTGTTGGCCATGTCCACCACCAGGTTGTTGTCCGTGTCCACCACCAGGTATTGCACCTCCTTGTCCTGGTCGGTTTCTTCCCATAGGTAGTGCACCTCCTGGATACGCTGGATTACCACCAGGTTGTCCTTGCTGTCCTCTTGGTTGATTACCGCTGTTATGGATATGAATAGTTACTGCCGGTGGTGGAGGATTACCCTGAGGTTGATGTCCTTGGTTAGCAGGACGATAAGGTGGTCCCTGTCCGGGTTGATTTCCATGTCCACCACCAGGTTGTTGTCCGTGTCCACCACCAGGTTGTTGTCCGTGTCCACCACCAGGCTGTTGTCCACGTCCACCGCCAGGTTGTTGTCCACGTCCACCACCAGGTTGTGGTCCGTGTCCACCACCAGGTTGTCCGTGTCCACCACCAGGCTGTTGTCCATGTCCACCGCCAGGTTGTTGTCCAGGTCCACCACCAGGTTGTTGTCCGTGTCCACCACCAGGCTGTTGTCCGTGTCCACCACCAGGTTGTTGCCCATGTCCACCACCAGGTTGTTGTCCGTGTCCACCACCAGGCTGTTGTCGGTGTCCACCTCCAGGCATTCCTGGTTGACCTCCCACAGGATTTCCATGAGGACCAGGCCCTGATGCAGCATTTGTTTGTGCTGGTGTGTTTCTAAACAGCTGTCCATTAAATGGATATGGCATATTTCCAGGCTGGTTACCTGGTTGATGTCCGCGATTTCTTCTGCTCGGAAGTGGACTTCCAGGGAACAAAGAACCAATGCCTGGTGGGTTCATACTACTAGGTAGGGTACCTCCCAACAAAGGAGAACCACCCCTTCCTGGTCGGTTCCTTCCTCCAGGCAGAGCACCTCCTGGATACATTGGATTACCACCGGGCTGGTTTCCCATTCCAGGGAGACCTCCCTGTCTAGGTCGGCCTCTTCCACTAGGCAGTGCACCTCCCTGTCCTGGTCGACTTCTTCCACTAGGCAGTGCACCTCCCTGTCCGGGTCGGCTTCTTCCACTAGGTAGTGCACCTCCCTGTCCTGGTCGGCTTCTTCCACTAGGCAATGCACCTCCTGGATACGCCGGATTACCACCTGGCTGTGCTCTCCGACTGCTGCTTCCAGCTCCAACTGTAACGGGTCCAGGATTCTGCGAAGCGTTGTTTTTGTGACCATTATTTGTACCATGGAAACCAGTAGAAAAGTTTGGATTCATGCCCACATTAGATGGGCTAAACTGTGCTCGATGATTTTTATTCGATACTGCATTGTTCACAGGAAGGTTGTTCACTACATTAAGATGAATTTGTGTTCCGGGAGGTGCCGGAGCTGGTGTTGTACCTTGACGAGGTCGTTGCCTTTGTCCACCACCAGGTTGTTGTCCGTGTCCACCACCAGGTTGTTGTCCGTGTCCACCACCAGGTTGTTGTCCATGTCCACCACCAGGCTGTTGTCCGTGTCCACCACCAGGTTGTTGTCCGTGTCCACCACCAGGCTGTTGTCCATGTCTACCACCAGGTTGTGGTCCGTGTCCGCCGCCAGGCTGCTGCCCATGTCCGCCAATAGGCATATGTCCATGTCCACCACCAGGTTGTTGACCGTGTCCACCACCAGGTTGTTGACCGTGTCCACCACCAGGTTGTTGACCGTGTCCACCACCAGGTTGTTGACCGTGTCCACCACCCGGTTGATATGGTTGACCACTAGGCATCTGACCTTGAGGTAGATGTCCTTGCGCATTTGGCTGTCTTCTACGACCCATGGGTCTAGCACCACCTTGCGAAGTTGCATTGCCTGCGCTAGAGTAATAGTTGGTGATATGAATGTTGTTAATATTGTTTTTAACATCTGTTTTATGTATTGTACTGTTAACTTTTGTGTTTCCTGTATCTTTGTTAACTTGTAAAGTATTACCACTATTCACCATTACATCTTTCACAAAATTCTGCAAGCTGTTTGGTGATCCTTGTGACGGTTTATTTGGGGATCCTTGTCCGAGGTTATTACCTCGACCACCTGGTTGGTTTCCACCCCTTGCTGGTCGATTCCCTTGCCCAATTGGCTTGACCCCTTGGGAAGTAGGATTGAGTGCTGGACCATTATGCTGTTTTCCTATATGGGACAAGACATTTGCATTTTTTGCCAGTACAACAGTACGGTGAATTTTCGGCACCTTTGATCTTATTATAGATGGAACTCTAATTTCACGTATATGAACTATCGGCAATTGTTGTAAATTTTGTAACTCTTTAGGTAGTCCGAATATGTTAGTATGTTGTTGGACAGTAGAATGTAATTTTGATTGCAGAATTGGAACTAGGTATTGGCCTTTTTTTGATCTAATTGTATTACCATTCTTTTGTGCCTCTCTTAGTTGCTGCAGAATATTGTTACTAGGATAAGACACTTTCCTGTAAGCAGGAAGAGATTTACCAACGGATGGATTAAACTGTGAGTTTTGTTGTGATCCTATTGTAGAGTCAATATTAGCTATATTAGCTGTGACTATATTAGTTTTTCTGCTGTTGTTTATTCTATATCCACGCAATGGTATTCGGATTTTTCGTTCAATATATTGTGGTTTTGGCGCACTCTGAAATTATACAAGCAAGAGTTAAGTAAAATATTTTACATCTTTTTTTGGCATCTCGTTATGTGTTGTTGTCGTTCTCATAAAACTTACAAGTAGAAAATGTAAATCGGTTATAAAACTCCGTAGTACATAGCATGGTTTTTAGCACAGGTGAACACGACCCCAAAGGTAGCCTAGGTTAAGTTATAAGTTCAAACGCCTCATTGTAAGACAAGTGTATAAGCCTGATAGTTTGACTATTGCATAAACCTGATAGTGTATAGGGTGTGTATGTTCGCAGTTACATACTGTCTGACCGGGATCGATAAAACCTTCAAACTTTTTGAGACTTTTCCACACTTAAGAACTTAACTAGCAACTCGTTATATGGCAGTAAGAGACCTGTTTGAACTCCGACCCTAGCAATGTTCAAGAAGCAGGTCATTTTTTCTCCACCGAAATTATTGAAAGTGTTAACTCTGATATCCTTGCTTTGGATGAAGTATTTGTCACTGAATATTAAACATTCATGCAATCGTAATTCCACGGTATGGCCTTCTAAACAATAGAACGTCTTTTTGATTACGAAAAGATTAAACATAGACAATGTATTTATCTGTCAAATAGTTAATTGTCAATGCATGTCTTAAATTTGTGCGAATACAAAATTTTTGAATGAAATAAAAAAGTAAAAACAGTTTTAACGAAATTCAGCACACTAACAAAAACAAACAACTGTTTGTGATATGTGATGTTTTTTTTTTTTCATATTCGTTTTTGTTTGAGAAAGATACTGCTCATGGGTGGTATATATGCGGATGGTCAGGATTTTATCGAAACCGTTATTCAATATTGATTTTTACATATGATTTAATAATTATAACTAAGTAGACTACCATAGAAATACTTATATGCCATAATCAAGATTTAAGTTCACTTATTTCTGTCTATGTGGCAAGATGATTTTAATAAACAAAGCTTTTAAAATCACTAGATAAGAATTGTCGACCCTTACGTAGTGCCTCGGTTCATTCCAAGTAGTCGGTGATACTCGTTTGCTCAATATTTAGTTATTGGGTAATGTTTGATGGACTTTATAGTTACTGTCGTTTTCTTTTCGCTATTGTTTTGTCTATACTTCTTGGGTTTAGTATTTTATTTGACCTTGTTAACAATTTTTGATTCGAGCGTCACTGATGAGTCTTTTGTAGATGAAACGCGCGTCTGGCGCAAATACAAAATTTCAATCCTGGTATCTATGATGAGTTTATTTGTATTTACCCCTTGATTTTTTATCACTGTTAAGGTAGGACAAAACAATTTAATGGTGTAAACATTTGTAAGATGATTGATGTAACGGCTTCGTAACGATATCAAATAGCACATTGCGATTGTACGCAAAGCACTTAAAAGAAAGTCATTATAATGTGTTCCAGTAAGGTGACATGTCTATCTGCATGCTATAACATTTGCACTGAATGTAAAGCCCTTTTACTCAGAAAATAGTAGATACAGCTCGGGTATTCCAAAATTGTATACTCAGAGGTAAATGGCCTTAACAATTTCGTAATTTCAGTACGTTTAGATATATACTTTGGAATACAACACGATACCATCAGTTTAACCTTTAAAATTGGTCAATTGTGTACTGGATAATAACACATAACTTTGACCGATCTATATTTAGTTTGGTTCGCCTGTGTAAACTGGGTATTCATGAGTTGCCACTCATATTTCATAAAAGAAATTGTGTATTTTCTGACTTTTATTTAAAATCTTTTTAATAATTTTATTGTTTTAAAAAAAGTAGGCCTTTTTATGGTGACATAAGTTTTAGTTGTTAGTTCTAATGGAACGAACTTAGAAATATAATTATATATCACGTGCCCAATCAGTTTGTTTAAGAAACCGCATGATTAATTAAAAATTAATAAATGCTAAAGAATGTAAGGCATGTAATTGTTATATATTTATAAAAAATCTACTAATGGATTACATTATGCAATGAAAATATCATTACGGCAGACATAATTGATTAAATGTAAACAGTGACGTCCGGAGAAGCGGCGTAACTTAAATATAAATTATAATTAACGCAAGTATCGGATATGGAGATGCATTTGTTAATGCTGCTGAAATATAGTTCAGGTTGGGTTACCTCGGATTTACTGTAAACGAATCTCAAATAGGATATTGACTAAGATGTCCAAATTACAAATGCATTATATGTATTTGAGATCGGACAGATACCTAAGTAAATTACAAATTAACGTCGCTTTACCGGTCGTTTATAGTCATTGTATTAATACTACAAATATGGTTGTACTCTAAAACATGCAGAAATCTTGTTGCTTTAAAAACGTCCAATAAATACTAAATGATAAAGATGATGATATTAAAAGTATTACATACATGCAAAAGTATTGTAAAGAATAATAAATTTTCGTTCTCGTATTTCCCTTGAACAGCCGTGTATCAAATCATGGGTAGAAAACTTCATCTAGGATACTAGGCAAATGCTGGTTTTAATAGACAATGCTTTTATATTCACTATTTTAAGCAAGAAATACCGACCCTTCCTTATCATCTGAGTACAACCCGTGAATTGGTGCTCAGACAAGGGTATGCCAGACGTTGGTCAATTTTTTTTGCACGTTAAGAGTTTCAATTTTCAATTTTCATTGGGAAGTATTCCCTTAATTACTAGTAAGTGTTATCATTTTTATTAGCAGATATTTGTTTTATTTAAACAGGATGTGTTTCAGTTTTAGGTACTATTATCATTTGACACTACCCTTACGTCTTTAATACATTGTTAATTACTAAAATATTTGAATTAATATTAGTGTTTGATTAATAATTGTATTAGGATCAGTGTTTTAATAATATGCGTATGTTAGAATCTACATCTGTTACCGAACGTTGCCTCGAGAAAGGGAACCAGTCTTTATTGCTTCTGTGTATTAGGGATTTCCACTGTAAACGGGAAGAAGTTTATATGTTTATAGTTGTCATGGAGACAAATGTCATATCTTGAGTATTAATATAAAACATATTGTGTTTTAGATGTAAGCACTTCTTATTTTATCACAATTACATTGATATTATTTGTGATCAGATGAATGAGAAAATCACAGAGTTTTAGGATCATTTATCTCAATTTACCACGCGTTTACGAATGCTGAGCATTATCCATACAAATTGGAATGTTCGCTTATGCTTAAACATACAATAAATTTAGTATCAATTGTAAAAAAAAATAATAGTACCTAGGTGAGTCAGTGCCATGGAAATTACAGTAGTTTTTGCAAGAATATATAATTCAAGTTCACATGTAATGGAAAAAAAATGTTGGTTACAATATAAATTAGTAATTTACTTACTACAGTATTAGTGAATAGAGATTCTGTTATATCGATCCAAGCTATAAACAATAACAAGCTTGCTATCGAACATGATGAAATAATCCGAATCCTCATGTTGCTACCTCTGTTACAAACGACAACCACCGTGTAACTAGCGAAAATTCTCACCTTGCTTTTTAAACCCCAATGTATCACTAACTACTTTAATTTATTCATTAAGTTATTAAATGTCATAAACTTATTGTTTTATTAGCTGTATTAAAATCACTTTGAATAATTAATTATTAATTGTCGATTGTGGGATACATGCAGTGTTACCATGCTTGTCAATGTGTGGTTTGTAATGTTTGATAAGCGTTTCATCTATAACTACCTTTTTCAAAAAACGTCGGAAATTTGTATCGACACTTCTGGTATTAGTGTGACTTGTGGTTTATAACATAAACGTTGTATTTATTGTTTAGAAATAAATTTATCTATACTAATTTTACCATGTCAGTTTTTAATTTTCATTGATGTTAATGACATATTATTGATAAGGAATTCTTGTTCTACTCGTTTTTCAATAAGAATAATGTCATGGTAAAGCATTTAAATGTAACATAAAAGTGGATGTTGTTTTATCATGGTCGTTCTTACATTTGTGTCTAAGTGTGGCGTTATATGCATGCCAAGGAAGTCAACGACATATCAAGTATTGAGCAGAACGTTTGAATATGTAATATGAAAAATGATTTTTGATTTGATGAATTTAAAATATCTAAATTTTATTGCCATGGTCAGTTTTAAATGGAAAGACTTAAAACGTATTTGTGAAAAGAATTGGTTTGATTTATTTGTTGTTGTTTGTATTGAATTTATGAATTCTTCAATGTCGGGAATATTCCTTTAAAGTGGGTTTACAGCTTACCCGTCTTGAACCATCTTAACATTGATGACATATTTGTTAATGGACATAAATCAAACAGCAGGGGAGAAATCCCACACAGACATTTATTTTTTATTGGTAAAATATGAAAGTGTCGGTGCATTTGTAATAAGGTGAAAGCAACTATTAATTGTAAGACGACCAACAAAAACGCTTTTCTTTAGGTTAAGTTCTTTATTCAGTGCGTTTTTAAATCCCTTGCATTCACCCGATATTCATTCTGTTTCGTAAATATAATACAATATGATAACAAATTTGAGAAAGAATATTTTTTCACAAATTTGTTAACTTTCATCAATGTTCAGTCCTTGATTATCTTATAGTATTTTATAGTAAATTTACAAATTACGTCTTCACTTTGAGTTCTCTTAGATCGATACCTTGTGATTTTCGGTTTTGTGTTGTACTTAATGCTGATGAGTTAAGTTTTTTTTAAACTGATTTTTAAAAAATGTTCTGTTTAACTGTAACACCACTGTCTCTGGTTTGGCGGGGGTTACGAGCTAACAAATATTGCAGCTGCTGCCTGTCAGAACTGTTTTTCGTTGATTTTTAAGCATAAATTAGGCAGTTTCTTTTATCATTGGCATTGTTGTACATATTGTTATACCGGGGCCTTTTATAGCTTACTGTACGATATGGGTTTTACTCATTTTTGAAGTCAGTTCAAAGCATTATTGTTTACTTTCTCGTCCTTTGTTCATTAGTGGATGAATGGCTCATTGGCAACCATACCACATTTCCTGATTTTTATAAGACAAAAACAGGAGATACCGAGAAAGCAATCGAAACACATAGAGTGGTCTAAGTAATTCATCTACGGTATCATTAGTCTTTCCACACTGAGTGAGTTTGAACCCCGCAGGAGGCAGAAGCGTTCCATTTTCAATCTATATTGACAATAAATGTCCGTTGTTCATGCAGAAAGTCGGTGGTTCTATCCAGGCATTCACTACAAACCAGTAACAGTCTGAAATAGGCACTTTTTGTACTCGACAGTACTGATTTTTACTCGACCATTCTGAATTTGTTATAAATTTACTCGACTGTAGTCTGAACCATACTTAACATGGAGATTTGTCTCATTGACACTCATACCACATCTTCTTATTTATATAAACAGTCTGAATTTGTACTCGACCCTTACCTTGACCATACTGAAAAGTCTGAACTCATACTCGACTAGGCTGAAACAGTCTTAAAACATTTTCGACTTGTACTCGATCTGTACTTAACCAGTTCTCGACCTGTTTTCAAAGTTTTAACAATACTTTACCAAAGGACTTTAAGGTCTGAACCATACTCGACCAAAGTCTGATCCTTACTCCCCAATATGATTATGTATAATATGTGGAGACAAGAAAAATAAATGAAAGTTATTAAAACATATACAGATTTACTGTATTACCAACTACGAGATCCTGTTTTTTTCATAAAGAATACTGTGAATTCATTTATTTTCGTGGGTATCGGGATCGGGAATTCGTCGAGTAGCGGTTAAATTTATCGAGAAAGGATCGTGTAGGAATCGAGTTTGGTCGGAATACAAATATTTTAACAATCAGTACTCGATCATCTCGACCTTTGCTCAACTAATGTCCGATCGTTTCTCGTTTGATCTGTGATCCAGATTAACTCGTCCAATTCCCGATCACTTCCAAATCACTGCGACTACTATAATTTTGATCCCAGACCAACTCGACCAATACCCGATCTCTACTCGACCAAATTCGACCACTTTTCGATCTCTACTCGGTTATACATGAGTATACAAGCCTGCTATAAGTTTCTATAAAAGGGTGTGCAGATCTGATTAACTCTCATAACTTGCTTTCGCAAGAATATATCGTCCTTGTTAGTTTAAACAGTACAAAAGATTAACTCCGTGAAAATTCCCCCGTGTACAGTACTTTGCTGTTCTTTTACAAATTTTAAAAGAGAGGCAAAAGATAAGAAAGGAACAATCAAACCCAAAGGTAAAAAAACAAACCGACGAAGCCATGGAGAAAAACGAAAAACGACGACAAGACAAACAGCAGTCCACATAACACATCATAGAAAACTAAAAACTTAGCAACACGAAACCCAAAAAATACACGTTGCACCCGTCGTATTGATTAACATAAGTACCAGTCCGGTGACAAGTCTCATTTAGTAGTGTCATTTTCAAGAAAAGAGCAGTAAATCTTTTGAATAAACAAATACAAACGTTTCGAATTACTTTTGAAACGCAGAAAGAAGGCAATGCATGTACATATACTAAAGTTTTAGTACAACTTTAAACAAAACAAAGCATGATTACCTTTATTTCAAAATATTCTTGACAATTTTATACCACACGAGAACAAGATGTCATACTTAAAAAACTACATCAGCGGTTTTACGATAACACTACAAGTAACTGTATGATAACACTGATGAACAAATCACACTCTCTTGCCACTCAACTGAACCTGCTTGGGAATTGAAATAGTGCATAAGATAGTTTCGGTTTGGATACGTCTTGAATATGGCTTCATTCAGGTTCTCAATGGGAATACATCATATTATATCATGAGCTATGAGTGTTCTTCTTATCGGCGGTCAATAGGTGTTTTCCTCAATCAAAGTCTTTTGTTCAGAATAGTTAAACAGTTGAGCGCCAGACGCACTTCCACCAACACTGACCTATATGAACTTGTAATTTGCGTCGACGAGGGCAAGTAGACAGTGTGATTAAGAAAATTCCTTTGTAGTTGCAGTACAGTCATGACAGTGTATCAGAGTCCTTTGGGCACTTTATCCTCACGTGCTTTCCATCCAGTGCTCCACATGCATGATGAAAGTTCCACTTGTTTTGGAAGTCATTGGCAATATGTTGCCACTGTTCGGATGTCTCGACTGCTGGTGTCACCTCTTTCGAGTACTCAGGTATTACAGCTTCCAATACTTTCGGAATGAACAAGATGATGGGGTTTAGCCACTAGAAATGAATACGTGATCTCTGCATAAAAAGCGCCATTTGCGAAGAGTGACGGCCAATTTGAGTCCAAGCTCTAAGGCTTCTCTGAAATATAGATAAATTGAAAATTTTATAAATGTCATTGCTGCAATGATATTAAATGTTTACCTCGCTTTCATTCAGATGAAATATTTTAATTTTACCTCGCTTTCATTCGAATGAAATTATCAGTCATGCATAAACATGTCAATTAACCTAAAATTGGTGTTACATATCATTTTGTGTGAGATACAGTTTAAAAACACCCATAACATAACAGCGTCCACTCCACGGAAGATTTTAAAACTTTGTGGGTCCTCTGAGTTGAGCCTCTGTAACAGTCTCTCATACTGCCAATATAGTGGTCGCTGTATCCATCAGCCACTGCCATATATAGATTTCTCGGCACCTATTGCTGTCCACGCCTTCTTGGTCGTCTTCTACGCTCTCTTCAAGCTCCGTCACACCTATCTCTGGTCTATTTCTACGTAGATATTTTAAATGTAGGATTTCATTCAGACCTTCCTTGAACTACTAAATGATAACCAAATAAATGAAAAATGTGTCAATGGGACACAGATAATGCCCCCGCTCGCATATAACGTTGTTTGATCTGTGTTTTATGATACTAGTAATAAGCAGTGTGTATGAGTTTCATAACATTTGGTTGATCGAGGCAAACCAAAGTAAGAGAACTGACTCTAATTTTTGGGACGGACGGACGTACGAAAAGGACAATGGTAACACTTAATGCCTCCTCCGCTTCGGCGGGGCATAAATCAATCAGACGTGTCTATAATGAAATTGTACATACCCGACCAATTCCAGGCTATCCCTACGACCCCCTATACGATCAAGTCATCTGGTCTGGTCGAGATAGGGCTGAGTTCGAGCATTGTTGATTTGGTCTAGCTAATCGAATAAAGATCTTGTAGAGATTGTGAATTGGTCGGAATAGTCGAATGTGTATTCAATTAGTGGTCGGGTTGGAGTCGTGATGGAGTCATTAAGGAGTCGTGAATTGTCGAATTAAAGTCGTGTACAGTCGGATAGCGGTCGGTTAGAAGTCGTAAACAGGCCCGATCAAGGATTCAGTTACGCTTGGTCGTGGAAATTTGGGCAATCGTGATAATCGAGTTGATCTGATCGGCAGTGTGAACCTAGCTTA